TTTGATTTTGTGCTTTAATTAGTTGAGCCAGACTATCTTCAAATGTATTGTAGTGTCCACTATAATATATTTCTAATGACTGAATAGATTTGCAAATATTTGCTAATTTATAAATGAATTTATTTCTGCTACGAGTGAATGTACAAACTAATTTATTGAGATTCTGAAAACTAACATCAAATCTAGGATAATTATTTACCCAATACCAATCTATATCATTAGTGCTAAGATCTTTAATAATTGCTGAATGATCTAAAATAAAATTTACTAATCTATTTTGTAAAATATTTAATCCAGAAGTTATCAACTTACAAAATTCATAATTATCAATAAAATAAAATCTAGTACAAAATTTAGCATAATTATATAATGGTTGTTTCTCCAATCGGTCAAAAATTAACCGAATACCATTTCTAGTTAAGAAATCCTTGTCTTCTTCCTCCAATAAACAATTGATTATTATTTTAGTGCTGTTAAGAGAATAAAATGGATTTCTCCATAAAATTGGAATACTAATATTGTGCCAGCCTTTATTAACGAGGATGCAAGAATACAATGTTTTATAATTGTCTTCATTGTATTTAAATATTTCATTCAAAAGCTCAAGAGGTAAAGTTATTATTGACATTTTTTTGTAAAGAAAAAAATTTAATTTTGTTTGTTGTACATACTAAACATTATTTATTTCAGCCAATTAAATCAAAATAACAATAACATTAATAAAAATTATACTTGCAAACCACTAATTTCTAATAGTGTAAGCAATTATAATTTTATTATAAAAGGTTTGGGTCTTCTCCAATTCTTCATTAGATTATCAGAAAATTGTCTTGATTAAATTATTTTGCTAATGTTTGATTTACACTGCCAAAATTCTATCACCATCTATTTCATCAGAATTAACATTAATTCGTGCTCCGTGAGACAACTGCAAAATTTGCATAATCTTGTGGCGATAATAAACAATATTAATCATTTTTTAGAATTTTTGGAATATGACCGTCCCTCACGTGATTAAGCATGATTACGCGCGACATTAAAATTTAAAATTTAAACTTTTCAAAGTAACCAAACATCTATTTATATTTCTTTTTTTTTGAATAAAACTAAATACAAACGCCTATTTATATTTTTTTTCTTGAATAAATAATTAAATATTATACTTGAATCTTAAGTTTTATATAGCAAGAATCCAGCAGTCCCTCCATATAAAGATAAAATATTTTATAAGAAAGTCCCTTTGAAAATTTGTATATTAAAACTTTGGGTTTCTTATTATTTATTACATTTGCAAATACAATTTATAAATAGTAGTTTTTTAGGAATGAAGTATGGGTTCCAGAAAATTTCAATTAGTGATCTGCGAAACCTTATAAAATATACTTCTAAATTTATATATACAACATTGTGCAATAATTTTTTCAATAGCTGTATTTGTATGAAAAACAACCAACATCCTGATTTTTAAGTTTTTCCATTAACATTAATAAAAAAAGCATATAGTGCAACAAAGGGTTGCCGATTACTTTAAGCACTTATTGGTTGGGAGACAGAATGCTATGGGTGTACGAAGTAGTTTGGGATTTGGGCAGCATGTATAAAGGTTATATTATGAAAACAGCAGAACTGGGGAAGGCTTTCTTTTCACTTCATTGGCATTCAGCACCAAATCTGTTCCCATAATGACACAATTATCTGTTATATTCAATTACTAATTTCAGCATTAATGCAATATGATAATGATAATATTCATCATCATTTAAATGCAATCAAAATTAAATATTACAAGTCTTATGTAAATTTGTTGTATTTCCTAATTTTTCATTATTTTCCGAGTTACTTGATTTATGTTTACACCTTCTACCTTTTGATTTTTTAGTCTATGTGATTTTTGTGATGTTTCAATAGAGCTTTTCCTTTTCTCTTTTCTCAATGGAGCACCTTTTCCTTTTCTTACAACTGGGTTTCTAACTTTTTCAATTAGTGAGCAATTTAAAGGTTGAATTATAAGAATCAATTACAACAGCCACACCAGTGTTATTGTTTGTAATTTTGAATCATGCTGTGTTGCTATAAAATTTTCTATTAATGCACTTTTTTGACAATCCAATTAGCTTGCTCTTTTTAACTTTCTTGAAACAGAAATACCTTTTACACAATTCATTATAGTAACTATTCAAATTATTGAGACTAACACCTTCATTGTTGATTTGAACAGGATTAATAATCGGATTCTGTGAATTATTGATGAATTGCTGAGTGTATACATGAAAACAAAATGATTTAAATTTCTGATTTCATAATTAATTATCTTGAGAGCCAGTGGTCCAAATTCAATGAATCACAGCTCGTTGGAATAGCCTCATAAAGAGGATTCGAATAATGGTGATTTAATGTCAATAGAATCAATCAATAAATGGCAAGTTATTGTAAGATATACAGTAAACCAAAATATCTCAATATAGTGATTCAAATTTTATGAACTAGACTCACCTCATTGAGAGAATTTGAATGGTAGTTGTTTAGTCCAAAATAGCCGGATATTGACTGAGTTATACAATTTGAATCTTTTGATTAATTTTTCTGCATGTTCAGTATGTTGTATGATGTAATTTCAACCATTTTGACTTTTAATTTGACTTTTGACCTTTTATTTCGATTTCATGTATAGTTTAGTGCATTTTCTAATTTATCAAAAATATAATCACAACACAAATGACTTTTTATTAGAGATATTAATTGTATAGTATGATGCAAGAAATGATGACATATAAAACCCTTTGTTATTATCTCAAGACATGTACAGATATGACCTCCATCTTTCATGGATATTACAAAACAAGATCTACTGCTTTTATATCCACAAATTTTATCCAGTTTTTTTCAATTGAGTTAAATCTTGTGAGAGTATCAGTTTCTTCAAGAAAATTATTTGCACTCACAGAAGAATCAATCTGTCAAACAATCAATATTAGCATTTTCTTGGAAACCATCTATCGGTATAATACAATAAATAAAATAAATCTTACTTCAAAATATTCATTACTCATAGATAAATGATTGTTAGATTTAATTATGTTGCAATTCTAAAATATGTGGAGTTAGGAACCTACCAATCTCTTCATCAATACAAGACATAAATGTTGAGAAACAATGTGGCATTCCAACAGATAAAAAACTATCTTTCTAAATAACCAATCTAGAATATCTAGATTCAACTTCTAATTGACTGGAATCACACGTAACAAAGACGTTGGGTATATTGTATCTGTGTATTAAAAGAAAATTTGTAAAATGTCATAGCCCAAGAATTTTTGTGATTGTAATAATTTTCTGTCAATTTTTTCCATCTATATATCTTCAAACAACTCAATACTTAATGTATTTCTACATAACGAAAATTCCTTTATAAATGTATTATAGGAATTACCTAATTTTTTTAGAAAGATTTTGTTGTATATAAAATATACAGAATAAATGAACTACATCGAACTACATTTTGGAATTTTTAATCTCATAAAATTATTGTTTATAATTGTTTTACATCAATTATTTTCAATGGTCTGCAAAGATCATAGGAGGATTTCGAGCTAATGCTTTTTTATGTTTGAGCTGGCTTGACTCGGCTTTTATGGAGCTTTAGTTACAGACTTTGTCTTCTTTGAGCAAATGTACACCATTTTATTAAATTATTATTATTATATATTATTAACGATGGTAGTTGATCATTCTTTCTTGGTTTACCGTTAATTTTATTTGGTAGAGTTTACTAATACTATAATATTATCTTTATTCGTATTTATAATATGATGATATTAAAATTTTTCTATATTTGGTTTATTAAAAGCATAAAAAGTATAACCAGGCGGTATTATATATAGTGAAAATATTTTAATATCACTCACCATTATTATTATCCACCACGTTCGGAAAAAATAATGTCTGAATAACCTGTATTTATCAAAAGTTTTTCCAAATTAGGGAAATGGAAAAATTCGGCCATTCAAATTTTTTTAGTTATATATAATCAAATATATATCAAATAATCAACAGAATGTCGCCCACACCCTCTCCACAACAGCAACAAGAGCAAACAGCACAACAACGATCTTTAACGCAACAACAACAGCAACAGCAGCAATTACAACAACACCAATTACAACAATTACAATTGCAACAACAAAGACAGTTGCAACAACAGCAGCAGCATCAATTACAACAACAACAACAACAGCAGTTATTACAGCAACAGCAGCAACAAATACATAGAACTTTAAATCAAAACATACAAAATATAAAAATGGATATTCATAGTTTACAAGAGGCCTTGAAAAATCCAAATCTGACCCCCCAGGCTAGACAGGAAAAAGAAACAAAACTTAATTACTATAGTAATCTTTTAAGAGCTCCAATATCAGGTTGACATTTATTTATACATACATATTTAAATATTGAAAATAAATTTTTTTATCAACTTACAATATTTATGCATGTATATATATGAGTATAGTCTCTCCGATGGTCAGAACTTCATCAATGCCGCTCAATACATTAACATCAACTGGTGTTTTATCTTCACAAACAGGTTAGATATTTCAATCCTTCATTTATTATTATTTATTTATTTATTTATTTATATAAGCTAACTAACTTCATTTATTCCATGTCCAAATATAAAAAATACTAATCACACATAGGTCCAATTTTAACAAATAACACTGTTTCAACCATGCAACAGCAACAGCAATTTTCGTCTGCTTCACAAACAACATCACAATCACCTACTGCACAAATTCCATTACATTTGCAACAAGGTTTGTATTTTAATAATGTTCAAATAAACTTTCATCAATGACAGATATTGATGTAAAATAAATAATGACGTAAAAAAATCTCAAATATTGAAAACTACTAACACTGCTAACACCACTACTACTATTACCACCACTAATAATACAGACAATTTAACAATGTTATCAGCAACATCATCATTAAGCACAATTACCAATATCAGACCAAATGCATCAATAGTACCAATAACATCTGCAATTACAACAAATTTCTCACCATCATTAACTTTATCATCTAATGCATATTTGACTTCAAATTTACCACTAGGAACTTCACAATTACAAATTACAGATCCTGATAATATTGAAAAACCAATCGTTGCAAAATGCAATATACAAGAATTGGTAGAGCAAATTGATCCTAGAGAAAGATTAGAACCAGAGGTGGAAGATGTAAGTTTATTTATATGATTTGTTATCATCACACATACATATATAATATGTAGTATTATTGGTAATAAAGATAATTAACAAGGATTTTTTTAGTTGCTGTTGGATGTAGCTGATGAATTCATAACATCTGTAGCTTCTTTTGCTTGTCAGTTGGCCAAACACAGAAAAACTGATACATTGGAAGTAAAAGATCTTCAACTACATCTAGGTAAATATTAATCTACTCTTACTCCCTATCAGTCTCTCATAAAATCAATTGAAGAAAAAATGTTTATTTATAACTGACTTATTTTTTTTTTCTCTTAATAATTGATGATTAGAACGAAATTGGAATATACGTATTCCAGGTTTTGCTTCTGATGAAATTAGATCAGTAAGAAAACCAGTGATAGCTACTGCACATCAACAAAAACTTGCTGCTGTAAACAATGCACAAGCTCAATCTCATTAAAAACTTTTTTTTTCTAAGCTCTATGATTACTATAATTCATTTTACAAGGATGAGGGATTTGATGTGAATGGGTGGGTGAATCTAAAATAAATAAATAATATATTCATATATTTATATATTTTTTCCAAATTCGTATAATTCTTAGAAAAATATGTACAGTATATATATTATAGAGATAATAATGTAATATACATTTTTATATATATAGACATAAAAATATATAATATATAATCTATCAATATTAATTAATATCTATTATAATGGTGTTGCCAATGCTAGGTATATATATAAAAACAAAAAGAACCTTTTTTTTATATTAAAATAAATTGTTGACCATATGATTTCTTAGCCACAGCAGTTTTGCATTGCAAAACTGTAATCTATCTTATCCTTACTATGGAAAAGATATTAATATGGTCAATTAATTTCTCCTGAGTTGTCCATCTCATCCTTTTTGTTGCAATATTACTATTGCTATTATTGTTGTTAAGTTACGGGCTAAATTATTTTCCTATAATGTAAGATAAATAGGTTGATTCTAAAAACAATAAAAATAAAATAAAATAAAATATTTATTGTGCTTACAACTAAATTTTTTATACAATTTAATCCATTGATTTTGATATTATTATTTGAAATAGTTATTTGATCAATTTGATCAATGTTTAAATTGAAATTTAGACTGATTGATGTTTTTATGGAGTCGAATGCTCTCAAATATCTTCCGTTCTAAGAAGTTATTGGTATATATTTTATAATCAAAAAATACAACTCGTTAAAAATAATATGATAAACTTACTTGTAATAGAGACAGGAGGACAAAGAAGAATGACTAAATGTTTAAAAACCTTGACGTATGTAAAAAACATTTGACGTAAATAAAATACTTTAAATATAAAGCTCATATATATTCCAAGGCCTTCTCTTTAATTTTTATTTTTAAATTTCTCTTATGTATCAGTTAGCTAATTTTTTTTTGCTCCACACTCATTAACTCGTATTAATATTAATAACATAATAATAATACATGATTTGGTAGATAAATTCATCAATTACGATTTGGATAATCGCGTACTTCGTGTTATAATTATGGAAGTTTTTTATAATTGATTAGTTACTTTGCAATAATAATTATCTTAACGAAATTTTCATTATTTGAATGGAAATAACGTCTGGTCTTGAAAAAGCCGAGGAAGATAATAAAATTAGTCTATTAAACTTTTAAAAATAAAAACGTTATCTTATTTTCTTTGCCTAAAGCACTTTGATAAAAGCAACAAATGTAGTTAGTTGGTGCCTTGGTAAAAGGTAACAATTGTGGAGCTTTGGTAAAAGGCCACATTTTATTTGCTTTAGTGAGCAAGCAAGGTTAGGACTATCGTTGGTCAACTAGTGAGTGTTAGTGAAGTATCGTTCAAAGGTTAATTGGAAACACTGATGATATTATTGTAATTGTAAACGTAAGGCTGTTAAACAAGCTACTTAAATTGTTTTGCAATCAGCCAATAAATGTAAATGACTGAAATAAATAAATCACGAGTGAATAAAAGAACTTTATAGAATCCCAAGAGTTCTGTAAGAAAAAGACAGTGACCAAAGTAAATTTGTAAACTAATTAATTGACAAGCATTGAATTATTGTGAGTCGCTTGCAATTAACTGACAAGAGTAGCCCAAAAGTTAAGCCATAATTGTTAATTGACTGAGGTGATGCCTCGCAACATCACCATTTAAAAAGAATCAAAAATTTGTAAAAAGTTTATTATTTCAAATAAGATAAAATAAAAAAGATAAATATTATAATGAATAAATTTATAGTGGAGATTAAATTAGTAATTCATCAATTCTTTCTTCTACTATCATTACTAGAATCTAATGTTTATTAATTAATTATTATCATTAGTAATTATTAATAAGTAGTAATTTCCAATTAATTAATAATGAATTTTTATTCACCTTTGTAGGAATTTTAGTCAAATTCAAGATTATTTAATGAACTATCGTTACTTTTATAACTTGCCAAGATTTTAGATTTAGCAATCTCTTCATCTAAGATTCTACTTGTATGATACGCATCTGGGTGTGATCTGTGTGCCTGTTGCAAAGTACTACTACCACTACTAGTGCTATTATTATCGTTATTATTATTATTAAGATTAATTTTGTGTTTTTTGATTTTAGAAAATTTGAATAATCTTTTTATTAAACTGTTATTGTTACTAATATTTTTCAGATTTCTATTTTCATTACTTTTATTTTCAAGGATTTCATTATTTTTATTTTCAAGAATTTCATTATTTATATTTTTAAAAATTTCCTTATTTTTATTTTTAGCAAATTCTTTAAGCTCTCCACTAGTTGGTCTTTTTGATGGATCTACATCCCAACACCTCTGCATCATTTGCACATAATCACCAGGCATTTCAGGTAATATTGGTGGTCGTAAACCTTCTTCACATATATCAAAAATCAACTGATGATTGTGAGCTTTGTCATCAAATGGTGGATGACCTGCAAATATTTCCCACATTAACATCCCAACACTATAGATATCCGATTCTTTTGTATTCGTTTTGCCTCTAAGTAGCTCAGGTGCAGCATATGATATAATTCCATAGACTTTATTTGACAACTTTTTGTCAACTGGTCCACATAATCCTAAATCCGTAATATAACAACCACCTCCTTGCAATAATATATTACCACTATGTAAATCACAATGTATTAAACCTTTTACATGTATAGCATTTAATGAAAGACACAAATAATAAAAGATTATAATTCTGTCTTTTAATGTTAAATTTAAATGATTTTGTTGTAAATAACTCCTTAAATTTCCATCTAAATAATTTAAAACTATTGCGTAATTTCCATTATCTGAGAATTTAGTTATACCATAGCAAGTAACAATCATATGTGATTTAATTTTACAATAGTTCATTGCCTGAAAATAAATACAAAATCAATTAGTATTATATAATACTATATTGTTTTATTTGTTTTAAATGACAACTACCAACCTCATCAAAAAAGCCTTTTCCTGGATTACTTGAATTATTTAAGCTTTTTAATACTACTAGTTGCCTTCCAAAATAACTAAATTTCTTTTTATTTTCGTCATAATCATCAATCATTCCTCTTGTCCATTCCGCAGTATAAATTGAACTAAATCCACCTTCTGTCAATTTTGTTACTTTTTCAAATTGCTCAAAAGGTATCCATTCTAAAATATATTTTGGAAGAGATGATTTCATTTGACATTGTTGAATAAAATCATCAATTACGTTATTTCCAGATGTCAAAGTGGTACTCTGTAAGTGTAAACTAATGCAACCTTCACAGAATCTATCAGAATATCTTGTTAATTTACATTCGTTACATTCTTTTGGTTGGCCTGATTTATCTCTTGCATTCTTTAATTCAAAGCCATAAATAAACCTTTCTTTACAATATTCTTTTTCATTTTCAGAAAGCTCCTTGTTTTTTTCAACTAATGAAAAAAAATAATCTTTTTTATTTTCTTTATCAGAATTAGCCTCTGCATTACTATGTGTTTCGATATAAATTTTATATACAAATTCCCTTCTTTCTGGTTTAGGATGTGGCATTATATAAAAATATATAATATAAAATTCAACTTGGTGTTTTAATGAATAGAGTGAAGATTTTTATTAACGTAAGAAAAAAACGAAACTAAAATGATGTAACAATTATCCGTTTCAGGAATAATCATTGATTTTTTTAAAATAAAAAAAGTAATATAATGAAGTAAATAAAGTTTACAAAAAAGGATTTTACTGTTTTACAAACAAAATTGAAGGCGTTGTATAGAAGTACTTAATTAATTTAATAATTAATATTAAATATTTAATGCTAAATATTTAATATTTTATAAACATAATTTTTTGGGAAGCATGGAATTAAAAAAACAAGGTGGATGTTATTGAAAATGGTTTTTTCATATGCGCTGATTTTGTTTGAACCCCAAAATCCAGTACGGTATGATCATAACGTTATGAATACTTTATACATATGTAAACTCGATAAGTCGGTCATGTGGGGGTGAGCTCATATGGCCGACTTATCGAGTAAACCGACTTATCGAATTAAATTACTTAAATATTAAGAAAATGGGGTGAAAATTTTGGCCGAC